TTCTCTCCCCAACAGCCACCCTACCCCAAGCTCCTTCCTTCATCCTCCCTGACTGTCCTCAAAACCACCACTGCAGTATGGGGACTGGAGCATAGTCTTTGCAAACAAACAGTCCATCCCTTTTTTAACAAGCTTCAAGGGATAGCTGCAGGCTCAGCCCTTTCCCCAGTCATTTTATCTGGAAGCAGCATCTACAACAAGTTTAATTATGCAATTAAAGTCATTTTCCTGAGCTGAACAAATATTTACAGCATATTTTGCTGCAAATTGCTTCGCCTGGAGAAGACTTCTGAGGCTCAGGCTGGCACACGTTCATTCACGTATTTACATATCCTGTTACCAAGGGGCTCACAGCCAAAGAGGGTCTGTGGTGACTGAGGCTGTGTGGGCCAAGAACCCCCAGGAATAAGTGTCAATGCAAAGACATGGGCAGGTGTTGGCAAGGCAAATGTGTTCTTGGGCCCCCAACAGTGCTACTGGGGACAAAATGATATCCTCTGCTCCTCTGTGGTGGCCCTAAATCTTGGCTCTGTGGTATCAGAGAAACCTCTGAGCGGTGCCCTGGTGCTGAGAGAGGGCCCAGATGGCACAGAGAACATTGTGCATGGAAATAGTTTGGGAACAATCAGACCTGCGTCGATCAATAATGCGCCAGCTACTCCTCCTGTAATCTGCACAGCAGTCCTGGGAGCGGGTTCTTAACAAGACTGTGTTTTGAACCTCCGCCGAGGGTCCCCAGTGTGCTGAGCTTCCTGTGTGAGAAAAGTCAAGGCAAAACTTCAGGAAAGCAGGCAAAGCACCTGCTTTGTTTTACTCTCTCTGAAATTCATCTCTGTCTCATATCCTCATTTCACCCCATGGAAGAAACTTTGTCTCAACTCATTGGGGTGAAGTCAGTTGAATGAGGGTTTTCTCAATCTGGGGGTATCCCTTGCCCCTGCAAGCTCCCTGGTTTACAGTAAGTTCTGGGGGAGCTTATGTAGCCTTAAGGTGTCAGGGTGGGGGTGGTCAAGAGTGACGCTCAAGATACCTATCAACCAGTGCAGGCAATGACCACTCAGAGAGGAATCCAGAGCGAACTTCAGGAACCCCTCAGCTGTGTGAGAAGGAATGGGGGTCCCAGGATGGATGTGTCAAGGGTGGGTCAGTGGGGGGGGTGCTGGGCAGCTGCTCTTCACCAGTCAGTGTGCGTGTTTTAGCGTCATAACCTCCATGCCTGCTATATCGAATATTGGGCCTGAGCGAGGGTGACGCAGGCTGGTCATCTCTCCAGCTGGTCTTGGCCATTGTATGTCCTTGTCTTCATATGAAGGCTCTTCAGGTCAACGAGAGCCCTCTCTCCCTCTCTCCTGGCTTGATCCTGATTCCCCCATCACACCTGGCACTGAATGGACCCTTCAGGGCAGAATTTATGGGCGTGACCAAAACGGTGGCAATATGGCCGGTGTGGGAGCATCTCCCATCCAGCTCAGTCTCCACCTGTTCAGAACGTTCTGGACCCAAAGGAGAATTATTTTAAGTGACCAGTACTTCCAGAAATCACCACAGTGACTATCTTATGGTACATGTTTTCAGAGTGTTTCCTAGACATCAACGGTGGCAATATGGCCGGTGTGGGAGCATCTCCCATCCAGCTCAGTCTCCACCTGTTCAGAGAGTTCTGGACCCAAAGGAGAATTATTTTAAGTGACCAGTACTTCCAGAAATCTCCACAGTGACTATCTTATGGTACATGTTTTCAGAGTTTTTCCTAGACATAGATGTACAAATACTCAATACACGTTCATTCCCTACCTTTACACACAGCAGTAGGTGGCAAATGTTGCATGTCAATAAGTTATCTTCTGCAGGGTCGTTTCAAGTGGGTGCGTGTTCCAGGAGGGACTACGATTTCTTTAAGGAATACCCTATCGTGGGCATTTAGTTTGGTTCCTATATTTGGGCCATGACAAAAGATCAGCTCCATAGTGAGCATCATTGCAACTAAATCTGTGTACACATCCATGATGATTCCCTTTGGACACATTTCTTAAAGGTAGAATTACTGGACCCAAACTCAGGACTTCTTGCTAAAATGTTTGAGAAGGGTAAAGGTGGCTGCCTCTGGGGAGGGGCTTGCTGAACAAGGAGAAAAAGTGCTCCGGACACTCCTGATTGACTTTGCTCTCCTGCCCCTCGTCTTGAAATCCACAGTGGGAGTCAGGCTGAGGGTAGAGGCTGCACGCAAGGCAGCTTCGCACTGCTGAGCCAGAGCTGCTCATCAGTGGATGGCTCCATGGCAGGGAGCAAGCTCTGCCCTGAAGTGGCTCTGACACAGCTGCACTGCAGACCTGGAGTGAAATAAAAATGAGAAGTGCTGCTCTCACCAGGCCCTGCAGTGTGCCAAGTCCCTTACTGGCATCACCTCATTTGATCTTTTCAAAAACCTGAAGGTATGGTTATCATGCCCATTTTACAGTTGAGGAAACTGAGGCTCAGAGTTTTGTGCAATTGCCTAAGGGCACACTGTGAGGAAGAGGTAGGACCATGACTCACATCCAGATTCTCCAGACTCCAGAGTCTGTGCTGAGCTGAGCTATTTCCTTTCAGCTGCATTAGACCCAGCAGGGGTATTATTATCCCCCTGGCACAGGTGAGATAGAAGAAGATCCCACTAGCCAGGGTCAGGCTGGGATGTGTCCAAAGTTGACAGCATTTACTGTCCCCAGAGGAAGGAAGAAGGGCAGAAGGGGGGATGCAGACAGCCAGCCCTTTGCCACAGATGAGCACATCTGGGCCATCACTGCAATTGTTGACAGCAGTAACCAAGCAGAGACCACTGCCCTGGCTCAGTTCCTCTGGCAAGGTTCAGGTCAAGGGAGCCTGCCAGGGCCCATGGCCCATGATCTTAAAGTCAGTGCCCTGCTCTCTGGAAGGTGCATGGAACCCAGAGGGGCGAGTGAGCAGCCCGGGAGCTCTGGGTTAGGGTGGGCTCAAGGAGAAATGGAGAGGAGTGAAAGGGCCCTGCACCTCCTGGCTCCCAAGTGCACCCTCACCCCATCCAGCCATCCCCCCTGGATGCCTCGAGTGAGGACAGGGCAGATTTGTTCTGGTTGAATATTTGTTGTTTACCTGCTGTGTCCCGGTCTTTAACCCAGACTTTGGCAAGGCTCTAGGAATTTCTGGAGGTCCAGGGGCAGCTCCTATGTTGGATTCCAATAGAAGAGGTCAGTCCTGGTCTTGGTTTCAGGGTCAAGTGGTCTTTGGGGAGGGTTAACTAGGAATCAGGAGACTTCAGGCTTTTGTTCCCACTCCAACCCACCTTCAAGTGACAGCTCACTCACCCTGACTGAGCCTCCTGCAAACGGCCTTGGCCATACATACCTTGCACAGTCTAAAGGCATAACACTGGTGAATAAGGCTATAGTATCCTGGTTATTGTAGCCAGAGGTCCCCGTACAGAAACCAGGACTTGGAGACAGATGGAGCACTCAGGAGGCATAGTTTGGAGAAACTGAGTCAGGGGCCAATGACAAATGTTGAGTCCCTTTGGTCCCCTGAAAATTCTTATTCTGTTTAAGTCACCTCCTCTAGGCTGTCCCCCAGGCTTCCAGGCCTGGTGGCAACATGGTCACACACAAGGCTGCTGGGTAGGTGGGTGATGCTGGAATTCCAAGATGACTTCTTTGCCTACAAAGGGAGTGGAGGCTGCCCAGAATAGGACACCAGGGCACACGGCGTGCATTTTAACAAGCTATATCCTGGTGGTCCCTCTTGGGAGTCTGAGGAACTGCCCCGAAGGCCACTAGGGAGTGGAGAACTTGAGGCCAGTGGTCTGGGTATGGGGGCAGCTGCCTCCTGTCATCTCCCCCAGACTTTTGGTTTCTGAGTTGGAGCACGTGTGAAGCAAGTCATCTGCGGCAAAAGGAAGAAACGGGTTTGAAAGCCACTGGTTTAAATTAATACAACAGATAGCATTTCACTCCATTAAGTGTTTTTTTTTTTTTTTTTTTTTTTCTCCATTAGCGGTTTTGGTGTTAGAATGTGCCAATTTCTCTGGACAGCTAGGTCAGTTTCTCGGCTCCTTAAAGGGGAAGAAACCCCAGCCCTGAGAGACACTCCTTGCCTCAGTTTCCCCACCTGGAAAACTGGGGTGGCCTTGGCTGTGCCTTCATGTGGAGCTCTTGTAAAGCGACACAGCTGAGGGGAATGAGCAAGTTCACGGGCTGTGAGAGGGAGGGGTGCTGAGCTGTCATGATTCAGGGAACACGGGCCTGCTTGCTGGGGTGCGGTGGAGGGCAGAGCCGACCTCACAGCCTGGGCCCAGTGAGGAAAAAACAACTTGAGGGAAGCAGCGGATGAACGTGTGGTATCAAGTTTATGGTTTGTTTGGACTGTTCCGTAACACCCAGTAAACAGCAGGAGCAGAGGAGACCAGGTGAAGGTTCAAGGCCAGGCAGGGCCCAAACCACACCCCTCCCTTACCAGGGCAGCCCACCGTGCTGGCACAATGTTTGGTATACAGAAGGAGCTCAATTAATGTGTGCACCGTGGAGATTCCTTTGGCTTTTCCTTCTGAAGAACACTTTTCTCCCCTCCCCTGTGGATAACAGTTTAGAAAAATGTTGTTCAAAAGACTAAAAAGGCAGAAGCCTGTGGAACTGCCCACAATGCAATCTCTGTGGGAGGCAGAGCCCCCAGATCCATGTTTTTGTCAAAAAGCACATATTAAACTCTCCTGGTCCAGCTGTACAAGCCCCACCATTCAAAGGTTTGTGGAAATGTTAAAGGACGCCAGCCAGTGGCCTCGGCTAATCTGGAGACCCATAGCACACTGCCATGTCCCCCTGTGTTTCCACCCTCTCTCCTCATTCTTCCCCAGCGGGGTCCTCCTGCTCCCTCAATCCAGGCAATGCATCCA